ATGAGTGGTCCACTTAAGGCATTGCACTGGCATCCCAGTAGAAAGACAACAAAAGCAACAAGTGCAAATAAATGGAAAGAAACACTTTCCTAAGACTTTCTAGCAGACTTCAGATTTCCACTCCATCCCGTTGGTTAGAACTATATCACATGGACACCCAGTGGCATAACTGGTTGAGAAATGAAGGCTTTTTGTTTTTCTTTCATCTGACAACATAGCTGCCTAAAAAGCTATGGAGTTGGATATTGGTGAAGAAGGAAGGAAATGGACATCAAATAGACATTTAGCAGTGCCACCTCAGATAGGTACTACTATTATTCTCATTTTGCATGAGGAAACCTAGACATTGAGAGTTAAGTAACCTGCACAAGGTCATCTAGTTAATATGTAGAAAAGCTGGATACAAACACAGGCAACCTGATTTCCAGAGCCTGAACTTTTAACTCTGTGCTAGGATTTGAATCTGAGAGTAGAGGGAAAGGCAATTTGTGACAGGAAGATAGTGTTAACAAAGGTGCAGTGTGTGTGTGCATGTGTGCATGTGCGCTTGTGTATGTGTGTACACGTGCATGCATGTATGTTGGAACCCTAGATGCTGATCATGTGTGAGAGAGGCCCTGAGGCTGAAATAAAGGAGCCACCCTGAGTAGTGGAGAGAAGTCAGGAGGGAAGGTGATTTGGATTTATACCGTCTGCCTGGGTAAACCTTCAGGAACATGAACTGCGTCGGTCCTGAAATTGAAATAATGACAATATATAGGCAAATATTGGCAAGAATGCATGAGGAGATGTTAAATATGAGCAGAGCCAGAACCCAGGGTGTGGTAAATCAAGCAAAACATCCTAAGAAGCAGTAGCCAAGGTTAGGTCCAGGATGTTCTGCAGTCCAGATGTGTCCAGCAGTCAAAGATACATGAGCTGGAAGCCAGGGTCTGATGGTTCGGAGTTAGAGTTGGGGAATTAGAATCTTGGAATATTACATACCTAGGTTCTTGATTGTTTTATGGCAGTACATCCCAGCACTTTAGGAATATTATTGGCACATTATTTAGCACTAGTTCTTAACCCTTAAACACTGTAACATTTAAGAGGATAAGATGACCCCAGACTATGAGAGCACCAAACAAACAGATGTTTTCCATGAAAACATGTTTACTTTCAAATATTAGCTTTACCTTTGTTATCTCACAGGGTAAGTGGAGTGGGAACACACAAAAATAGGTAGAATTAAAACGGAAGGAGCTGTGCAAAGTGATGAAGCACATCAGCTTTGGATTATATATTTTTCAGTGTCGTTGTTAGTACAGAGCTTGCACCATGAGATGGCAGATTAGTGTAAGGAGACCATTACTTAGAATATGTGGGGCTCAGCAAGAGAACATGGCCACACTTTGAGTGGTGGGCTTTCTGACCTGGTAGTGTTCAAACAGAGGCTAGAAGATTGTTGAGGAGAGAGATTTCAAAATTGCTTTTTGGATAAAGTTTGACTAAAATGACTTCAAATCTGCATTTCATAATTGTACAGTATGCCCATCCAAAATAGATCAGAATTGTAATCTCCAAAAAGCAACCTGAATCTGCAAAGTCTTTCCTATTGCTTGCAGACTCAGCAGCCCTGAGTCTGCTGCTAGGCAGTAGTAGGAAAGGCTGTGTAGAGCATTTGTCCTCCTCACTCAAGTTGCTTCTTTGTGCATTTGAAAAAGCCTAGCAAATGAGGTCTTTTGAAGAATAGTTATAATGACTATTCTCCAGCAACCACGAGAATGGAATTCAACTTAAGGTGTTATGCATTTATTCAAATGTACCAAGCCTCAGTATGCATGTGTCTAGCCTTTATATACATACATATATAAATGTGTGTGTGTATATATATATATATATATATACATATTTGTATGTGCATACATACATATCCACATTTATGATGAAAAATAAATTCATGTTTATTGTTGCAGTTAAACTCTGAAGCTCCGAAACCATTGGGTTTGAATCCCAGCTTCTCTCTCTTCTAGCTGTGAATATAGATCAAGTTACTTAACATCTTTGTACTTATTTTCTCACAAGGTAATGACTATTGTGATGATTAAATGTGCTATTTATTACCTATAAAAGACTTAAAATGACTGGTATATAGTAAACATCCAGTAAATGATAGCTATTATTATTCTAGACTTTCTAGAAAACACATAAAAATACAAAGAAGACTAAAAATCATGTTTGTTCTGAAGGAGAACCACTGTTAATTCTGAGCATATCTTCCCAGTCTTTGCTCATGTGCTTGTCTTCTGTTTACTCTCACTCTGGAGTCATGCTCCAGGGCCTAGGTTTCCAATGCACGCGCATGCACACGTACACATGCACATACACAGAAATATACCTGCACATATGTTTTTATGTTTCTTGTAAAGGTTAGAATATGTGCCTCAATGATCAGTATAGGGGAAAGGGGGAAAACTTCCCCTTTGTCCTCCAAAGATTCCCTGAAAATCACTGACAAGAGGCATATTAATAGGAGAAAAGGAATATACATTTATTAATGTGTACATGGGAGCCTTTAAAATTAAGACCCCAAAATACAGGGGAAATTGTCCATTTTTATGTTTAGGTTTAGCAAAATATGGACAGCATGTAGAAATATTATTGGACAAAAAATATGATCTAATGTTAATAGACTGAGTGGGGAAACTCAGGTCTGTCTGTTTAGATTTTTCTTTGTCTCTCTGAGCATGTATTCCTTTTTCTGGATATGGCATAGGGCCCTCTCTGGAATGGGGGTCTTGTGACCTATAATCAAAAAAGATAAATCTAGTTATCTAATTTTTTAGTGGCCAGTTTTTGTGCAGTTATAGTGGAGGGACAGTCAGAGTAAAATTTTTAAATTTTATGGCTGGCTTTGGGTAAAGGGGTTTTAGTTTCTATGACCCACCTCGAGTGAGAAAGATTCTAGTTTCTATGGCTAGTCTTGAGAGAGAATGGGACTGAGAGATAGTAGAGTAGGAGAAGGTCAGAGAAAGATTTCTGTTTTGAGGCTGCTTCTGCGGCCTTCATTTTGGGTATGTTTTTCTGAGTCACAACTTAGATAATCCTGCACAAATATGTATTCATGACTAAGTTATGCCCTAGAAGGTCACGGCTTTTTTTTAACAGTGATAACTCTTAAATGATGATTGAGTCATTTTTCATAGAGAATAAATATTTTGCCATTTTTTCATTAATTCTCTGATCAGCGAAAGTGTATATTCTAAATTTGATTGCTTTGTTTAAATATTTATATGTTTCTGTTACATAAACATAGAAAACTGTAAAATAAAAATGAATGTCTTATTTACAAAATCTGTGCTTCAAGTAGAAAGGGTAAGTGAGTATACACATTACAGACCATTCATAGAATAAAATAATGTGCATTTAAAAAAGAATGAGGTAAGTCTATACACACTAACACAGAAGAATGTCTATGACCCGGAAAGATGTCCATGATGCTTAAATTAAAAGCACTGTGGAACAATAAATAGAGAATGACCATCTTTATTTATACCTGTGTTTTAAAAAAATTTTTTTGTAGCTCATCAGCTATTGTTAGTGTTAGCTATGTGTGGCTCAAGACAATTCTTTCAATGTGGTCTAGGGAAGCCAAAAGATTGGACACCCCTGGTCTAGGCAGTGCTGTGGTCAGGTTTGCTGAGTATTCTGTAGGTGGAATGTAAAATCCAAGATAATGCCTGATGGAAAGTGCACCAACCTGATACTGATCCTATCTCCAGGCTGGGTTTAATGCTCCTGTCTTCATTTCCAAGTTTCCAACAGAATCTTGTGCTTACACTCATCCTACAGGGGATCAAGCTTTACACTTTGCTTTTTCTGCTTACTTGTCTCTCTACCCTATTAGATTTTGAGGTCCCTGAAAACAAGAAATACCATTTTTTTGTTTTTATTTTTAAATCTCTATCGTCCCAACATTTAGCATTGTGCCTAACATAAGCAGCCAACGAATGTTCATTTGATTTGTTTGATTTAATATAAAATTTTGTATAATACCCAGTTGATGTTTGTTTGGAAATTCTGCTTTCTTGAAAATGCTGACTGGTTCCAGGTTGCTCAGCACAGAAGACACTGTAAGGAATGGATCAATTGTTTTTCTCTTTCTCTCTTCCTTTCTTTCTTTCTTTTTTCTTTTTTTTTTTTTTTTTTTTTTTTTTTTTTTTTTTTTTCTTTCTTTCTTTCTTTCTTTCTTTCCTTCCTTCCTTCCTTCCTTCCTTCCTTCCTTCCTTCCTTCCTTCCTTCCTTCCTTCCTTCCTTCCTTTCTTTTTCTTTCTTTCTTTCTTTCTTTCTTTCTTTCTTTCTTTCTTTCTTTCTTTCTTTCTTTCTTTCTTTCTTTCTTTCTTTCTTTCTTTCTTTCTTTCTTTCTGATGGAGTTTCTCTTGGCATCCAGGCTGGAGTGCAAGGGCATGATCTCTGCTCACTGCAAACTCCGCTTCCCAGTTTCAAGTGATTCTCCTGCCTCAGCCTCCCAAGTAACTGGGATTACAGGCGCCTGCCATCATGCCTGGCTAATTTTTGTATTTTTAGTAGAGACGGGATTTCACCATGTTGGCCAGGCTGTTCTTGAACTCCTGACCTCAGGTGATCTGCCTGCCTTGGGCTACCAAAGTACTGGGATTACAGGTGTGAGCCACCGCTCCCGGCCCATTTCTTTATTATTATTATTATTATCTTTTTTTAGAGACGTGGTCTTGCTCTGTCGCCCAGGCTGAAGTTCAGTGGTGCAATTGATAGAAACAGGAGAGAGCCAAATGCCGCCCAGGTCATTGTGTACAGGGGGCTTGCCTAAAGATGCCCATAACCAACTGGGGGCCCCTCTGTGCACTGGGAGAATGGGGTGGAGCCACTGGGAATACTCGCCTTATGAAGTGGGGAGGAGCGCAGTCTCTTCAGCTGCTGTGTTGTGGCCTGGTATTCAATCTGTGAGGTGGAAGCCTGTTGGCAGGAACCTCCCATTTTTATTTTTTTTTTGCTGAGAGCTTTCTTTTAATAAATTCCACTCTCCTTGCCTTCCAATGTGTCTGCATGCCTAATTTTTTCTGGTGGTGAGACAAGAACATAGATTTTAGCTGAGCTAAGAAGCAAAAAATCCTGCTTCACAATCATAGCTCATTGCATCCTTGAACTCCTGAGTGCAAGTGATCCCATCTCAACCTCCTGAGTAGCTAAGATTATAGGCATGAGACACCATGCCCTCTAAGAATAAATTCCTTTCAAACATTACAAGCTCCTCATCTTTTCCTTTTGCCACCTGAGGTTTTAGACATACACTGGTCTCAATACACATAATCCTTGGCACTTTCTTTTGAAACCACTGAACACTTGGATGAAATTCTTTTGGGTCAGGAGGTTCCTGCTAAGCCCACGTGTAATGAAAAGAGGACATAGTGAAACACCTGCTTTCTGGTTGCAGATAGATCAATATGACTACTTAAATTTGTCAAGGAAATGAACTACAGGGAGGAATATCTGCTTTGTACAAAGATTTTTTAATGATACTCTTTGAAAAAAAATGAGTATGTATAAGTGCATTTTAACTGGATTCTCAAAGAGATCTGGGACCCCAAAAGACAAATAACAACTGCTCAGGGCAAGTAAAGAAAACTTGGATTTCAAATGGTAACCTCCTAATTTGATATAAAGTTTCTTGAAAGGAAGGATAACATCTGAGGCTCTTTGTATTTCCTGCACCTTGTACAACAGTATTCAGCATATAGTAATCAGTAGTAGGGGATTATTTGGAAAAAAATTAATTGATGACAAAAGCAAGGCTTACTCGAAAACCACTGCTATCTAGGAATGACATCATTTGACACTGCTCCTTACCTCACCTACTGTGAGCATGCCAACTTACAAGCGTTACCGGAAAGAATTTACCCCCTTCTGAAATAGTAGGAATTATCTATTTCATTTGTACACCTTGAAATTTCCACACTTTTTCCATGCCCAACTACTACCATTAATTTTTATTTTTATGGTACTTACATTTGTAAAGATTTTATATTCGATTCTCAAAAAATCCTGTGGGATGCATAGGTCTTCTAGGAAGTATGACTTCCGTGACAATAAAAATGACGCCTGATATCCCTCAGATAGGAAGTCTATTTTTCTATTTCCTTAAATTATAAAGAAAAGAGCAGGGGTCCTGTGAAATCCCATATGAATTCAAATTATACATGTAGAACACAATGGAGGTAAGTCTGTAACAACAGGAGACCAGAGTAACTTGTAACAGCAGGTGACTTTTCTAACAAAGGTCACACAGTGTGGGCTAAGCTAGCACCTCATCACTGCAAAAGGAAGCAAAACAAAAGGAAAAAAAAACCATTTTCTTTTTCTTTTTCTTTTTTTTTAAAGCAGCAACATAATTCGCTGGCTCAGCAAATGTTTTTCCCTATTACAGTTTGGGGAAGAACGAGACTTGGAGGCCTTGTTTACCCTTAGCCCTTCCTCCCGCCCCCGACTGTACCATTAAATCCTAGATACTGGGGTGACTGAAAAGGATAGGGAATAAATAAGTAATTGTCAAAATGTTTTCCCTATATTATGCATGGCAGGACTTGCTACTTTCTTTTAAGTTGGTAACAATCAGCTCAGGGGTTTGCTCTGGTTGCAAGGTCACTGCAAGAATGAACATTGAACTTTGGACTATACCTGAGGGGTGAGGTAAACAACAGGACTATAAATATCAGAGTATGCCGCTGTGGCTTTGTGGAGCTGCCAGAGTAAAGCAAAGAGCAAGGAAGCAGGCTCGTTGGAAGGGGTTGTGTAAGTAGGAACTTCGTGTTTTCTGACACTTTATTCTTTTAGAGTTTGGTAAATATTTTTTGAGTCTGATAAAATGTTTTTTTCCCATAGAATAGATTTAGAAAACAGGTTGGGTAGAGGAAATAAAAAAAAATAAAAGAGAAAAAGGATAAGAGTCTGAACTTGGGTGTGGTAGGTGAAGTTCCCAGTGGGCACATTTGACAGTTCTTGATTTCTGCCCTGTCTTCTGCACAGCTGAGAGCAGAGGAAGCTGGAAAAATCCAAACGTTTTATTCTATAATCTGTTGTGATGTTATGTAGGCAGTATTATATGTTCAAATTTAAATATTTTCCACTGAAAGGCAGAGTAAGAACAAATAGGGAAAAAACCCAGCCATTTGGATTGGAAGAGCAGACACTGAAATAAGCTCATTCTAGTGTCGTAGAAATGTCCAGGGATATTGTGAGCAGTTTCAGAAAAAAAGGTGGTGGTGGAGTGGGGTACAGCAGGTTCAGTCCACAGTGCAAAAGTGATCACCGTTAAAGAAGCTCAAACCTATGTCACAATTAGGTGGTCTATGATTAAATGCAAAATTTTGTATTTTAAATGGTGAATGAGAGCATTCAGGTGAATTAGGGGCTTTCAGATGCTGGCCTAAAGTTCAGAGGTGGAGGACAGAGAAAGTTTGTGCATTTCCTGCTTTTTAATGAGGAATTTAAAATAAATGTAGGCCTGTATGTGGCCATCAAATCTAAGTTCTGCAATTGAAAAGTGGTGACGTTAGTGAAATTTACAACTACTTTTTCAATTCTTACTGGATTAGCTTCCAGAAAATCCAATTGTGTTATTTATCTTCACTATTTTTGTATAGCTGACAACTATAATTATTAAAGGTTTATTGTGTAAGAAATAATTTTAAGAAAGCAAAATCGAGCAGCCTGTTGATTCTAATGACAGAAGAAATCCATAAGTGTGAACTCTAAGCTACAACTCTCTGCCAATGGGTTATTTTTTCATCAAAAACCTAAATGAAGGAAATGAGTGAAATAGTCTTTTCATTTGTATTCACCATTCAGCTACTTGAAATACATGCTCTGGGCTGGGCACGGTGGCTCAAACCTATAATTCCAGCAGTTTGGGAGGCCGAGGCAGGCGGATCACGAGGTCTGGAGTTTGAGACCAGCCTGGCCCGTCTCTACCAAAAATACAAAAATTAGCTGGGCGTGGTGGTGGGCGCCTGTAATCCCAGCTACTTGGGAGACTGAGGTAGGAGAACTGCTTGAACCAGGGAGGTGAAGGTTGCAGTGAGCTGAGATTGCACTATTGCACTCCAGCCTGGGCGACAGAGCAAGACTCTGTCTCAAAAAAAAAAAAAAAAAAAAAAAAAAAAGGAAATATGTGCTCTGTGGCAAAGTGAAAACATCAAATGCTGAATTTTTGTCAAGGTTCTATAACTACTGAATTTGTAGTCTAGGAAACAGAGAAACCCTAGCCATTCTATTAAGAAATAAAACAGCTTGAATTATTTTTATGTTCTCTTTGGCATCTTAGTGCGTGAACAAAAATAGTTGGCGGCTATAGTTATTACAAGGTGATCTGTCTAAAAACTCTCAATATATTGCAGTAGCTAAGATGTCATGCTTTGGATTTGATGGAACTAGTTTTAATCCAGTCTCTCTTGTGACTGACTTACTCTCTGTGTGATCGTAGACAAGCTACCTAAACTCTTAGCCATGGTTTTTTTCAACTGCAAAAGGGGATAATGGTCACATAATTGTTTTAAGGATTCACTGACATGATATATAAAAGTGCTTAGAGCCACCTGAATATAGTTGTATAAAAGTTAAATAAACGTTAGCTATAATAAGGATAATTGTATTATCATTGTAAATACCATTCTAGAGGAATTTTCTAGAAATAGTCCAAATATATCTTCTTCTTCTTAAAATATTAGAATATTTTAAATGTTAGAATAAGTAGTTGGGGTGGCCTTAAATAAGTAAGTTAAATTGTCCTCTCTCTCTATCTCCCTCTCACCTCACTCTCTCTGTCTAGTTTTTTTCTCTTCCTTTAGTCAAGTTCTTATCAAGATATCACATACAGGTAGGAGTTTTGATGTGTTAAATAATGTGAAAGACAATCAGGGTTAAAAATTTTTCCAGTGCATTAAAGCCCAGATCAATCTGATTTTAGCTTTTCTATTCTCCTCTTAATTCTGGGCTCACTCTAAGTAATTTACCATTAGCTCCCCACCTCCAAAGAAATGCATCTGCTTTTAAAAATCTCAAATCAGTGCTTGAAAATGTATTGCCTTCCCAGTTTTCAAATTGTGTCCTGATCTCTCCCCACAGACTCTTACATCAAAATGAGCCTGAATTACTTGTGAGGATTTTTCTTTGCTCCTCTCTGCTGAATGTGTTCCTTTTTCTTATTACCTGTCTACAGTTCACCTGTTTTTGAACCTCTCTGTTTAGAGAGCTAGCCCTAGTTTTCAGGATATTTCTAGTCAGGTATTTAAAAACATTTTAACTTCGTTGCTCAGAGGAAGCATCTTTTTACCAAAGAAAGTGCTGTCTAGTCATAGGAATTTTCTAGTCATAGGAACTTTCCAATAAATAGGCTAATTGAGTGTGGATTTCAGTGAGTCTTATATGGTAGAGGGGGCGGTGATGTGCGATATTTCTACTTGGTTAGATACATAGAGCCAGACTTCAAGGAATAAGAGAAACAAAAGGGAGCCATACCCAAGAGATTTATAAATATAGAATGTTTGAACTTGAAGAGCTAAGGGCCCGACATGAGCCACATTCATGTTGGTATACTGTCTTCTCTGCCATCACCTTTCTTCCTTGGTTCTCTTTTTTTTGCTGGCTCTTTTCATTTCTGTGCAGAATTCTCTATTTATCCCTTTTTTCTTCTTTTCTTTTTTCTTTCTTTTTTTTTTTTTTTTGAGACTGCTCTGTTGCCCAGGCTGGAGTGCAGTAGCGCGATTTCGGCTCACTACAAGCTCCGCCTTCCGGGGTCACACCATTCTCCTGCCTCAGCCTCTGAGTAGCTGGGATTACAGGCGTCTGCCACCACGCCCGGCCAATTTATTTTTTTATTTTTTTATTTTTTTATTTTTAGTAGAGTTTCACCATGTTAGTCAAGAAGGTCTCGATCCCCTGACCTCATGATCCGCCCGCCTCGTTCTCCCAAAGTGCTGGGATTACAGGCGCGAGCCACCGCGGCCGGCCTATCCCTTTCTTCTTGGAGGATAGAAAGAACAGTCAGAACTTGGTGTGTCTCAAACAAAAGTCAGGTTGTGTTTGCAGAATGTTATGTAAGTTACAGACTTATTTCTATAAGCCACAGTCTGAGCATAACTTTCTGGAGACAGAATTCATGGGCTAGGTATTTTTAGGGAGTGGAATTATGTCTGCAGGATTTATAGAAATTCATAGTTAGGACTGTGAAGTTAACTATGAAGAAGAGTGACAGGTTTTCTCTTTTACAGGACAGCCCCAGCAATGTGGAGAAGTCTGGGGCTTGCCCTGGCTCTCTGTCTCCTTCCATCGGGAGGAACAGAGAGCCAGGACCAAAGCTCCTTCTGTAAGCAACCCCCAGCCTGGAGCATAAGAGATCAAGATCCAATGCTAGACTCCAATGGTTCAGTGACTGTGGTCGCTCTTCTTCAAGCCAGCTGATACCTGTGCATACTGCAGGCATCTAAGTAAGACAGTCTTTCTGTGGCTTAAAATACCTTAAGGGGAAGGTTATTAGATACACACATGCATATAGACATAAAAGTGTAAACAATAACTTAAGTCACACTTTTGGAAAAACTATGTGTTTGCACAGAACATATTAGAAGAGAGAAACTAGGATGATACACACCAAAATGTTTACAGTGGGTTTCCTAGGGTTATGGAAATTTTTTCTTCTTTTTGTGGACCTATATTTTATAACTTCCTACTAAATATGTATTACTTGTGTAATGAAAATGTTCTAAAATGTACTTCTGCAAATAGAACAGTTACTTCAATACAAGAAGCAGAGAAGACTTTTGTCAGAGTAGAAAGAACACTAGGCTTGCTATCAAAGGTTTTGGGTTATTTAACAAATAAATATCAAATATATTTGTTGAGTTATTCACCAGATATTGATTGGGTGGAATTCTCCTTACAGTCATCCAATGGTATCTGTGCAGGATTGGTTCCAGGATCCCCCTCACACACCAAAATCCATGGAGCTCAAATCCCTTATATAAAATGGCATATATAACCTATGCACATATTTTCACATGTTTTAATCATCTCTAGATTACTTATAATACCTAACAGAATGTAAATGCTATGTAAGTAATTTTTATACTGTATTGTTTAGTGAATAATGAATGACATTTTAAAAAGTCTACATGTTCACTACTATAGATGCAGCCATCTTTTTTTTTCCAAATATTTTTTATCTGTGGTTGGTTGAATCCATTCTACCTATAAGATACATTTAAAATATATACACTTCATTGTGCTAATTTGAGAACTAAATGAGCCAATGTTTGTGTAAGCATAAGGTTTTAATTAAGCACAAGTTTTAAGTAATTCTAAAAATTAAAGTTTTAAAATCTTTCACAATAATATAAATAGGTGCAGTATGGATTAGTTAAAAATAAGAA